ATCATATTTCTTTGTAGATAAACGTACAATTCTACATTATTTTTATTCTATTATCAGAATATCATGGTTCGAAGAATACGATTTCCACCTAAATCGAATAACGTTGAAGAATCTGGACCTCGTGAATTCTGTTTCAATATTACCGAAGTAAATGATTTGGATGAGCAAATTACAACTGATGCTGCAATGCCATCAACGACTGATGATTCATCATCGCAGCAACAGAACTTAACTCCAGAACAATTACATCAATTGTTCATTAAAGCAAGTTCTGAATTGGTTGCCGAATCAAAGGATAATCAAGAATTTTTCAAACGTGAAGCAACAATTAAAGCACCAAAAACAGGTCAAATAATACAAACACCATTTCCACCACCTTCCGAAGATCGTAAAGAAAATCTTGATATTGATATTGAACAATTAAAACAATTGGCTAAACAAGAAGCAGGTCCATTAATTATCGAAAGATATTCTCCTACTGAAACGGAAATTAATTATTCATTAGCAGCGGTTACAATAACATTCAATCAACCGATGATTGCTGTTTCAACATTGAATGAAAATACGAATGTAGAAAATCTTGGTATATCATTAACACCGAACTTAGATGGTCGATGGAGATGGACAGGAACAAAAACAATTCAATTTGAACCAAAACATCGTTTGCCATATTCAACAAAATATACATTACAAGTTAAGAAAGAAAATTGTGTATCAGCAATTGAAGGTAAACCTATCAAGTATTTGTAAAACTCGCACTGTTTTTTTCGTTTTCTAGGAAAATTAGCAGATGATTTTTTGTTTGAATTTTCAACAGCACCAGCAAAGATTGTTCAATATTCACCATATGGTACAGTTTCAACATTGAAACCAAAATGCTTTTTATTATTTGATCAAAAAATTGATCGAAATCAAATTTTAAAACATTTACGCGTAGTTGATAATGATGAACGTGAAATATCAAAAGGTGATTTGGAATTAATAGATGAAACAGCAGCAAAAAAAGAATTTGAAGGCTATTTGAATACGAACGAAGGAACTCATGAAAGATATGTTGCATTTACATTTAAAAATGACCTATCAAAAGCAACACAATATACAGTTCAATTACCTGTGGGTTGTCCATCAGCTGAAGGTCCATTAGTGACAACATCAGAATGGTCAGCTAATTTTCAAACATATGAACCTTTAAAAATCATTGATTGGCAACCAAATAAAAAAAATGAATACCAACCATCTACTAACCCTGGTAGTAGTTGGTTAGTAACATTCAATAATTCATTAGATCGTTCAACAATTAATAAATCATTATTTAAAATTGAACCCGAAGTTAGTGGATTAGGTATTGAACATGTCGAATACAATGATCGACAAATAACCATACATAATAATTCAAAACCTAATACTGTTTATACATTGACGATACAAACAGAAATGTTAAAAGATATTCATGGTCAAACATTAGAACATGATTTTGCTGAACAATCAATACAATTTCATGTACATGATTCACCACCATTAGCTGGTCATTTGTCTGGTGCAACAGGTATGATTATAATGGATCCTGGTGTATTAGATGATGCATTTTATCCATTCTTAATTTATAATTATTCTGAAATAATACTTCGCGTTAATCAAGTTAAACCAGAACATTATCGACAAGATTTACCTTGTTTTCAACAGTATTCTTATAGAAATGGACAAGAAGAATCAAATCGTGAATTGCCCGGTGAAGAATTATTCAATGAAACTGTGCAAACAAATTGTGAACGTGATGAACCTAAAGAAATGAAAATTCCATTGAAAACATATTTATCAAAAGAATCAGGTGTAGGTCAATTAATTATTTTTATTGAACCAACAGACAAAGCCTGGAATGCATGTCGACAAAACGAGTGGGAACGTAAACCAATTATATCAGCTTGGTTGCAATGCACTCGATTAGCAGTTGATGTCTTTGTCTCATCAGCGTCTACAGGTCCGAATGCTCGATTAACTACATGGGTTACTGACTTGATGACTGGTGTACCTGTTCATCAAGTAATGGTTTCTATATCAAACAAAAACAATGAAACCAATAATCAAGGATTATGTACAATTGCTAAGGATACAACAGAAAATAATGACGGACAAACTATTCGAGAGCAAATCTTGATAGTACAAAAGAATGATGATTTATGTATGTTACCTGATATCTATTCATATGCGTCAAATGTTAATACTTATGTTTGGCATGTATTTAATGATCGAGGTTTATATAAACCAAAAGAAGAAGTACATATTAAAGGATACGTTCGATTATTGGAAGTAAAAGGTGATGCAAAATTACCAACTTATGCAAAAGGTACTATTGAGTATATAGTTTCTGATCCTCGTGGTCAACAACTAGAACAATCAAAAGTTGAATTAAATAATTATGGTGCATTTGATATCAAATTTACATTACCCGATAATGTCAATTTAGGTATGTTAAGATTTGTTTCTACTTTAAAATAACTTTCATATTATTATTAGGTGATGGATGGGTAACATTCAATTTACCAATTTTAGAAACACAAACAACACATTCTTTCAAAATTCAAGAGTTTCGTAGACCAGAATATGAAGTCTCATCAATGACTCGACCATCAACAGTACATTATTGTCATCCAACTAATGATCAACATGTTGTAGCTAGTTGTCAAGGAAAATTATTTGCTGGTGGTTTTTTAACTGATGCCAATGTTCAATGGTCAGTTAGTGCTGAAACAACCAGATATACACCACCGAATAGATCTGATTATACATTTGGTAGAGCTCGACCATTCTTCTTTTGGTATGGTAGCAATAACAACAATGAAATATCATATCCTGCACAATTTTTTCAGGTAACATCAAACATTTTTTCATAAACATACACACACTATTAATTTTTATTTTAGGGTAAAACTGATAGTAAAGGTACGCATGAAATTAAAATAGGTTACCATGGTATTGAAAAAGAACCAAAACCAACAATGGTTCGTGCATTAGCAGCTATTACAGATTTAAATAATCAAACACAAGAAACACAAACACAATTTCTTATTCATCCATCGACATATTATGTTGGATTTCAATTACTTAATAATTATGGTAAGAAAGATCAACCTATAAAAACCAAAGTTATCGTTACAGATGTTGATGGAAATTTAATTGATAATGTTTCAATTGAATGTAACATAGTTGGTATTGGTCAAGAAAGAAAAGAAGATGCGAATGGTTTAACAATATATGAAGAAGTCAAAGATGAACAACAAGTTACAAATGCTAGTTCAAGTAAAGATGCCATTAATATGGAATTTACACCAAAAATAGGTGGACGATACAATATCTCGTTTACCGTCAAAAATGAACAAGGACAATCAGCAATGAGTTTCTATGATAATATTTATGTTGCTGGTGGTAGTGGAAAAGAAATGGAAAGACAAAAAGTCGAATATATTCCAACCGATACATTAACAATTTTACCAAATGCAACAAATTATCAACCAGATGATACATGTGAATTACTTGTCTTAGCACCATTTAGTCCAGCTCATGGTCTAGTACTTTTCGATTGTGAAGGTCAAGTTTCACAACCAATACAATTTCAAGTTGAAGCTGGAAAAGATTCAGCAACAGTTGAATTTAAAATATTAAAAGAGTGGATACCAGGATTTACTGCACATATTGAATTAACAGGTTCAATGCCAAGAGAAACAGAAGTAGCCAATGCACCTAATCGTCCAGCCATTGCTGTTGGTTCAGTAACATTAGAAGTTTCAAGAGATGTTTATAAACTAAATATTTCAATCAATACAAAAGATGCACAGAAAACCTATACACCATCATCAACTGTTCATATTGATGTTGATGTGACACAATTTAAAGATAAAGTACCTGTAAACCAAGCAGAAGTTTGTCTAATTGTTGTTGATGAAGCAATCTTATCATTAACTGATTACAAATTAACCAGTCCATTAGATATATTTTATCCTAATAGACCAGCATCTATTGTACAACATCATGGTAGAAATCGTTGTTTATTATTCAATATGAAAGATATTGAACAATTTAAAAAAGAAATGCGACAAATAAATGAACAAAGTCTGCGCATGCATTCGCGTATGATGGACAAATGTTGTTTTGCAATGCCGATGGCTTGTTCTGCTGCGAGGGGAGGTTTTGGTGGTGGTGGTTTTGATGATGCTGGTCAAACAATAAATGTTCGATCGAATTTTAATCCATTAGCATGTTGGGTACCATCATCAGCAACAAATTCAACAGGACATGTTTCATTCAAATTTAAATTACCTGATAATCTTACACGTTATCGTGTTTGGGCTATAGCTACAACTGATCAACAATATGGTTTAGGTGAAATGGGATTTACTGTACAATTACCAGTAATGATACGTCCTTCACCACCAAGATTTCTTAATTATGGAGATACAGCTAATCTTTCAGTTGTTTTACAAAATCAAACTGATCTACCATTATTATTACATGCTGGTTTAAAAGCAACAAATGCAAAATTAACTACCGCAGACGCCAATCAACAAGTTGTTGGTTATGCCATTCAACTTCAAGCAAATAAACGAGCTGCACTTCAATTTCCATTATCAACAATTGATGCAGGTACTGCTCGATTTCAATTTATTGTTAGTACTCTAGCAAATGAATCACAAGCATCATTTGGTGATGCAATTGAATTAAGTGTACCTGTCTTCACATACATCACCATAGGTTGCAAATGCTTCTGATGTTGCTGG